AGAGAGAGACAGAGAGAGAGAGACAGAGAGAGACAGAGACAGAGACAGAGAGACAGAGAGAGAGAGACAGAGAGACAGAGAGAGACAGAGACAGAGACAAAGAGAGACCGAGACAGACAGAGAGAGACTGATTCAGCCAGGTGTGGAATCACATGTTAATCTCATGGTAATCTCAATACTCTAGAGCTGAGTCAGAAGGATGCTGGGTTCAAGGTCAGCCTAGACTGCATAGGGAATTCAAGGGGAGGCCAGAACTACTTAACAAGATCCTGTCTCAAGCAGGGCACAGTGGCACATGCCTGTAATCCCAGCACTTGGGAGGCTGAGGCAAAAGAATCGTTGCAAATTAGGAGACCAGCCTAGGCTACAAAGTGAACTCAAAGCCAGCCTGAACTACATAGCGAAGTCTTGTCTCAAAAAAACAAAAACAAAGATCCTGTCTCAAGATACAAAACAAAACAAGCTAGGCATGGTGGTACATGCCTGTAATTCCAACACTTGGGAGGCTGATGCAGGAGGATCACTGAGTTTGAGGCCAACCTGGGCTACATAGTTAGTTCAAGGCCAGCTTGAACATGGTGAAACCTGGCTCAAAACAAACAACCAACCAATCAAACAACCAGTATACCCAAAGTACAAAGTGAGAGCTCTTGCACAACTTTCAAAATTTAAGGATATGGTCATTTTAATTTCAGCATGCACTACCTCAGATTGGAATTGAATTCTCACTTTGGCATTATTTAACTCCCATTTGAGAGTTGATGTCATTATTAAAAGAGCAATGGAGTCAAAAGACTGAGTTGGAGTTCTGGCTCTGCCCCTCACAAGTGGTTTTAACAGGAGCCTGACATTTAAAACAGTATTCTCAGTTTTTAGGAAAGGCAGCCTAGTAGTTAAACTCACAAACCCTGAAGCAAGGTTGCCTGGACACTAATTCTAACTCTACCATTTATTAGCTATGTAAACTAGGGCAAGCTACATAACTTTTTTATGCTTCAGCTTCTTTTCATGAGAGAAATAATTATGGTTTGTATTTCATTGAGTTGCTAAGATTAAATGGGGTGGGGCTGGGGAGATGGCTCAGTGAAAAAAGCGCTTCCCTGGCAAGTGCAAGGGCCTGAGTTCAATCCCTGGTTCCTCAAAAAAAGAAGGTTAAATGAGGTATAATTCCAGCGTTTGGGAGGCTGAAAACAGGAAGTTCACTAGAGTCCAATCTGTGTAGTGAGACCCTGTATTAAATACATTTTAAAAAAATTAAATGAGGGCTGGATATAGCTCAGTTGTAGTGCACTTGCCTAGCATGCACAGGCATACACATACACACACACACACACACACACACACACACACAGATATAAAGTCAAAAAAATATCTATTTCCCTTATAAGCACTATATGATTGCTTGATATTATTAGACAGAAGCTGGATCATGGAAAGCCTTCTACACCAGCAGAACCATTCTGTTTCATAATTCTGATCACTGCACTTTTTTTTTTTTTTTTTAAGACAGAGCCTTGAAGCTCAGTGCACAGTGGTGCACACTTGTAATCCCAGCACCTGGGAGGTTGAAGTTGGGGACTGCAAGTTCACTTCCAGCCTGGGCTACACTTTAAGTTCATGACCAGCACGACTGAAAGACCTTGTGTCAAACTTAAAAGAGACAGAGAGACAGACAGACAGAAACAGATACTGAGTCTCACAAAGTTGCCCAAGGTAAAGTACAATGGGTATTTATAGCCATGATCCAATTGATCAATGCATGCAACAAGATTTACCCTGCTCCTTGAGAGCATCACATCCATGTTAAACTTAGGACAGCCTCTGGGCATAGTGTACTATAACCTCAAATTCTTGGGCTCCAGTGATCCTCCTGCCTAAGCATCTGAAGTAGCTGGAATGGAAGGATAGGTGCACACTATCATGCCCACCTGCATACTGTTCTTGAATTCTCGGTTGCCCTTCTCTTTCTCCTGTGTCTAGTAATCAATTATTAAACTTTAAGACTCAGTTCAAGCATCATCTTGCTACCAGATGTGGTGGTGCACGCTTGTAATCCCACCACTTGGGAGGCTGAGGCAGATGGATTGCTTGAGTTCTAGGCCAGCCTGAGCTACAAAGCAAGTTCAAGGCCAGCCTGAACTGCATAGTGAAACCCTGTCTCCAAAAAGACACCCGCCAAACCTTTTTGTCACTAGCCATGGTGGCCCATTCCTGACCAACACTCTGAAACACTGAAGCAGAAGGATCAAAAGTTCAAGCTCAACCTGAGCAATTTAGCGATTCTGCAAAGTCCTGTCTCAATATAATATGTGTGTGTGTAAAATTTCAAAAGGACTGGAGATGGAGGTAAGTGTTAAGATCCTGAGTTCAATCAATCCCTCAATACTACCCTCCCCCAAATAATCTTGCCTAGGAAACTCTTCCTAGCCCTTCCCACATTTCTGCACGATAAACTCCTTTTCCTTAGGTGCTTCCACTCTACCATGTACAGATTATCTCAGCCTTTACAGGTTTCCTTGCACATATATGTTTATTTTATTTTATTTTATTTGTGTGCCGAATGCCTTCAAGGCATGACTGGCTGTCATGTTGTGGGGATCGAACCACAGCAACCTGAGCCTGACTGCTTTGTTGAAGCAGCCACTTAAGGAACTGAGCTAAGGGGCAGGCCCCCTGCACATATATGTTTAAATGTTTAAGTGTGACACTCAATGCCCACCGAAGGTAGGGACTATCTGCAGTCATCACTGTACTCCTATCAGATGTGATGTCCTCAGTGTTTGTGGAATGGGGATTTGTGAACCTCCCAACAGCCTCTGAAAGAGTCAAATGCAAACATGTGCAGAGAGGCACTAGAACCCAGGTCACTGGGGTCTGAAGTTCCTCTCAATTAATTGCTCGCTAGGTGAAGAAGGCAATCTAGGAAGCAAGAATTGTTATGAGCATAACCACAAACCAGGCAAACTGTCAAACATGTCAATGTCAATGCCATGGCTGTGGGTGGTGGGAATCAAAGCAGTGAGTCCCGCCAGGCTTCCAAGCTCACAGTACTCATAGGTGCCGCGCTGCACTCACTGCCCTCTCCAGTTGTAAATAGGTAAGCCCGACCAAGGCACTGCAACTGGTCTGTCATCCCAGCGAGTGCTGCCTCAGAAAACTGCGTTCCCCCTTGCTACTGCAAGGCTCTGCGCCCAAACAACTAAAGGTAGATTTGATAAATGAGTGAAGAGCTGTGGGATGGGAAGAATAGGCATCGCGCTCAGAGAGGATGGTGCCAAGTTTGGTGTTCACTGGCTGTGACTTCGAGAAGAACCCTCCCTCCCCAAAACTCAAGTTTCTCCACCTGCTGCACAGGTTAGTCAGGTCGATTCGCCCCAACCTCCCTTGGGACACTTGGGTTCCCAAGTGAAGAGGGGGCCAGGTCGAACAGGGACTCGAGCTGGCGACTTCGGGATTCAGCATCCCCGCCTCCCCTTTCGAGTCCAGCTGGGCCCAACACCGCGAGCTCGCCTCGCTCAGAAGTAGAGGGGTCTCCAGCCCCCACAGCGCTGCTCACCTGGATTAGCCAGCTTTCGCGCGGTCGGGCAGAGAGAAGCCACAACTTTACCTCAGCTTCCAGCACGTAGCCACGCTCCCAGAGCTCTCCACGCCGCCGCTGACTGACAGCCCAAAGGCGCAGGCGCGGGATAGCCGAGTAGATCGATGGGATGCTCTGGGCAGACCTGCTGAGAAGGGACGAGTGCCGAGTGATAGATGACGGAGGGCAAACACGCACCGCGATGCGAAGCGCAGAAAGTAGACGTAGGGCAAGTGGTTGAGGAATCTTCCTATTTCCCGCCCCCTACTGGAGCTTGAGGTTTTGCTAACTGATCCTTCGTACGTTCACAAAACGCCAGAGCCGACCCAGAGTCTTTTTCCAGTGCTGAATGCCAGATATATAGACGGAATAATCACAGCCTCTTCTCAGGGAATTTCTACTCCGGGACCTGACCTCAGCCACCACTCTGAAAATAAAGTTTCTTGTGTGTCACACGTTTTGGTTACCCAGTGGGGGTGGGGGTGGGGGTGGGGGGGGAGGGATCACACAGTTCCCTTGCCGATCAGGAATTAGTAGGACTTCCTTTGTATAAGACATGACATGGCCACTCGTGCCAACTTTTGCCATCCAAACAGTAAAAGGAGTTTTCATTTTCATTTTTGTTTCTGAGACAAGATTTCACTAAGTTGTTCAGGCAGACCTGAAATTCACAATCATCCTGCCTCAGCCTCCCTAGTGCGGGAATTACAGGTGTACACCACTGTGACAGACTCTGAGCAACGGCTTCATGGGTCTTAGGTTAAGAGAATTCCAAATATATTAGCCAGCAAATGCAAAGGTCCTGAAAGAGATTCGTGCTCAAAACAGCAATCATAAAACAAACCCAGGGCTGGCCAGATAGCTCAGTGGATCAAGCTCCTGCTTAAGCAGACGCAAGGACCGGGGTTCATCCCGGGTGTGCACGCCGGCCCCACCCTTGGGCCGCCCTGAGAAGGTGATTGAGACTGGGCGTGGCGTGCGCCTGTAATCCCAGCACTTGGGAGGCTGAAAACAGGAGAATCACTACGAGTCCGGTCTATGTAGTGAGACCCTGTAGACCCTGTACTAAATACATTTTAAAAATAATAATAATAAATTACAAAATAAAACAAAACCGCGGAGGGCGTTGAGACTGAAATGAAGTCATGGGTGAGTGAATGGTGGCAAAGATCATAAAGTCAGTGGGAGAAGAAGAAATTCAAAGCTTATGTGGTTTTTAGGCTGTTGTAAGGTCTTTGAATTTTGCTGTGAACATGTTACAACAACCAGAAATTCTTGAGCAAAAGAACATGAAATGACGTGTTTTGAAAAAGATCACTCTGACAGCTGTGTTGACAGCGCCTTAAAAACAGATGAGATCCACTGAAGAGGCTGCAATTGACTAAAAGCCCCCAAACAGCTGAGTCCAGACAAATCTCACAGTTGTGAGACATAATAGAGAAAAAACAAAAAAAGCAAAAACCACAAAAAATAAAATTATAATTTGTTTTTAAAACGTGTTTGGGGCTGGCCAGATAGCTCAGTGGACTAAAGCACCTGCTTAGGCAGAGCGCAGCGGCCGGGGGGGGGGGGGGGGTTCGATCCTGTGCCTGCCGTGCCAGTAATCCCAGTGCTTGGGAGGCTAAAAACAGGAGAATCACTGCGAGTCCGACCTGTGTAGTAAAACCCTGTAGACCCTGTACTAAATACATTTTTTCTAAAAAAAATGTATTTGGTTGTTACAAGGTCTCACCACACAGCTTGAACTCAGTGATCTTCCTGTTTTTTTCAGCCTCCCCAGCGCAGGGATTATAGGTGGACGCCACTGACACTACGCCCGGCCTGTAGCCAGTTCAGCCTGCCCTGGGAGCCTGGCTGGCACAGCATGTGGTGTGGGGAATGGAACAGCGGTCCCCACACTTGCCTGAGCTTGCCTAAGCTTGCCTAAGCAAGCGCTTTAGTCCATTGAGCTATCTCGCTGGCCCTAAAATTGCAATTGTGAAAGAAGAAAATAATCGTTCTAGGGCTGGGGAGACAGTTCAATAGTCTAGTTTAAGCGCCTGCCTGGCAAGTGCAAGGACCCGGATTCGATTGCCAGTACCACATGCGGTGCAGGCCCTGGAGCCCCCTGTGAGCAGTGCTGGCCACTGAATCTGGGTATGGTGGCACACATCTATAATTCCAGTGCTGGGGAGGCTAAAACAGGAGGATCACTATGAGTTTGACCTGAGTAGCGAGACCCTGTA